GGGGGGGGGGGGGGGGCAAAAATGAAAATGATTGGTTCGGACATGACCAAATTTCACTGTGAATAAAAAGCATTTCTGGAAAGAGTTCTTCAAGCTCTAGCGTGGGCGATTAACAACTCATGGGCCTGTCCACATCTGTTCGTCTGTCTTCAGAGTGTTTCAGCAGCAATGAGACCCACTTTCGGAACGCACTGTTGCGCAATAACCTGGGATGACATTACTGCAACAAAGACCTACGTGATGTGACGTAACCATCATCTCTGCAATGTCAGTTTTCTCCAAACAGTATTTTTCCAGTCTTGTTATGTTAGTACAAACATGAAAATCAAACACATCATTTTGCTAAATGAACTGAGACTACAAATTTCTGGTTAATTTTTAGTTTCCGGCCTAACTATAAGCAATTCCCTGCAGCAAGCTAATAGTCGCTTAGCTCAAGAAATTTCACGTATCTTTATAAAATCCGAAGACTCACTGTCATCTTCAAATGAACCACTGGTCCCTGATCAAAAATAACCCCGCAAGATCTTAGAAAATGTTCCGTTTAAAGACGTGATAATTTCATTCCTAATAGCTGCATATTCACCATGTTGGTGTATCTTTAAATCCAAGTTTTTCGAAGCCAGAGTATCAGACTCTGAAAGGACCTGTAGTAAGTCACGTATGAATTAAAATAAAATATAGAAAAATAAAATACTACAGACACGTAGAATATACAGAGTTATTCATAATTCCCTGACACATTACAAAAAATCGCTAGACTTGAATGGTGCAATGGATGATAACAGGACTTGCCGATAGAAACAGAAACTCTCCAAGTTTATTTTACATATCTCATAAATTCTCTATGTGTCCGCCCTTTGTGACGCGACAGACGTCAAGCCGATAATCCATTTCCGCCAATACCCGTTGCAGCATGTCACGATCGATTTGTGAGATGGCAGCGATGTTTCGTCTTCGCAGCTCAGGCAGATCCCGTGGCACAGGCGGTACAAAGACCTGGTCCTTAACGTACCCCATAATAACAAATCACATGGCGTCAGCTCAGGTGATCGGGGTGGCCAACGAAGCAGCGCATGGTCATTGGCAGCCATGCGTCCGAATCGACGTTGTGGCAAATGCTGATCGAGGTAGCCGAGGACGAGGCGGTGGTAGTGTGGCGGAGCCCCAACTTGCTGATAAATGAAGTCATCGCTGTGATCATGAAGCTGCAGCATTGGCCATTCCTGCACCATCTCAAGATAGGACGTGCCAGTGACGGTTGCCTCGGCGAAGAAGAATGGCCCGTACACCTTCTCTTTGGACACTGCACAGAAAACTTTCAGTTTCGGTGAATCCCTAATGTGCTCAATTGTGGAATGTGGGTTTTCACTTCCCCATACCCGCACATTGTGTCTGTTCACCTTCCCATAAACGTGAAACGTAGCTTCGTCGTTGAAACTTTGAGAGTTTCTCGTCCTATCGGCATGTCGCATGTTACCATCCTTTGTACCATTCAGGTCTGGTGATTTTTTTGTAATGTGTCAGGGAATTATGAATAACCCTGTATATCAGAATATCCTACATGAATAATTTTATTTCGATGTTGAAAGACAATTTAGGGTCACTCAAATATGATGGTGACGACAAATACCATGGGCGATGCAAATTATGAAGTTTTAAAGCCAATCTCTAGATAGGAAAAATTGTTTTTGTTCATTACGAAACCCACTTTACATGCTTCTAGGAAAAACAAGTAGTTCCACAGACATGTTTACCTTCTGGGTGCCACAAACTTGATAATTTCCTTGTAGCGATACTGCTGTGAAAAGGTAGCCGGATAAGGTTACACGCCAGAAAAAATGAACGCCGTTCAAACTACATATATGTATAGTCCAATAAGGAAAACCGGTACGGGAAGCAATGGTAAATCCAATAGCAACTGTTAAATTATACAGAAGCACTGTGTAAGAATGTTTGAGAACGAAGTGTTGAGAAAATGAATTGGATCTAAGACAAACGTAATATGGGTCTGGAGGAGCTTCTTAATATGAGCTCCTCGTCCAACAAAAACAAGACAAAATGAGAGACATGCAGCAAGAACAAAAATGCAAATCTTGGTGCCGGGGAGTTTCGGGGGAAAAGACCATGTAGCAGACCTGGGGATAGGCGGGTGGACAATATTAAACTGACTGTGAGAAAAAAGAGTGTCGAGGTATGTACTTGATTGGCATAAGCCAAACGTTCATGGCCCTGATGATGGAGGTAGCAAAGGACCTCTGAAACGTCGGTAAACTTCTACCAGACTACACGGCGCTACAACCCAGAAGACAGAAATCTTCTATCTGAAGGTCCTTTCCCTCACTTGACATGGCATCGTAAAATATCGGAATAAATAATACACCTGATGCATGGTACTTGTTCATTCTCTTTTCTAATAAAAACATTAATTTCAAATAATACACATCAGTGTTAAGACTGTACTAGCGTAGAATGTTGCGTAATACGACCTTCACTGACAATAACAGAAATGTAATGGTAAATTAAAATTCCGTACCTAAACAAAGACGTGAGGAAGCAGGATTCCTGACAACGGAGAACTCTTATCCATGAGTCAGGATTTTATTTTCGGGAAAATGCCTATTTATAGATTTAAGATAAAACGTGAATTCTGACTAATCAAGTGCCGGTGTCACTTGCATAAAAGTATGCCCCCTTCAATACCAGCTGTTAAATTCTGACTCCTTTTGTAACAAAAACATTTCTTCCATTTTCTCAAGTACTTCAAGAGCAGGAAAGGTTGCAACCTACTAATCCAACACCAATAAACAGATCAACCCTTACAGGTGTAGTTCAATGAATTCCATCTACCACTGTTCTATAAAATCACAAGCAAGGTGAAGTTTCCCCATTAAGGCACCCCCACACAGAATTAGATACAAACTCAGTACAAAATTCTTTCCTATTTCACATCTACTAAACGGTATGCTCATAAAAAAAATTGTATTGCAGTACTTTTCTTTCCTGCTCCTAAATTAAAAAACCAGAGATACTCCTTTCATTAGTACATGGATATAATCAGTGCAGTTAGATCTATTTAAAACTATTTGTGGGTCCGCAGTGGCCACGCGGTCTGAGGCGTGGGCCTTGTGCCGCTTGGTCACTGGGACCATTGGTTCGAATCCCACTCAAGCCATGGATGTTTGTCCGCGTTTTTCTATGTTGTGCTGTCCCGTGTACAGGTAGAGGCCTTGCGACGGGCTGACCCCTCGTCCAAGGAGTCCTACCAAAATGTCCATAGATCAAGCCAACGAAAAGTTGGGACCCGCAGTGCTCAGACACTTGAAGAACGGGTCATTCCCAGTATCCAGTATCCCAGTAAAACTATTTAGTTAAATTCCTCATTAATTTTCATTAATTAGTTCACAAATCTACATTTGTCACAAATAAAATGTTTCTTCAATTACAAAGTTAATGCAAATATTATTGCAGGAAGTTAAATATTTATTATTCAGAAAATATGTGGCACTGAACAAAACACATCAGAGTATATCAAAGAACAGTCCCAAACCCCTGTTTATGAGCTTCAACATATTAAGAAATGTCATCTGATATCTTCTATACAATTAACTGAAAGCCTGTTATTGCAGTGAGTCACTTGACTGCAACATGAATCATACAAATTCTATATACACAGTTGCCTATCCCCCTAGGACACTGACCTAGATATACACAATAAAACATCTGTTACTACAAACCAAAGTCAGAGAAAGGGGAGTGACCAAACCATAACAGATTACAGAAGGAGCATAAAATGATTCAGTACTCACCATCCCACAAGAACCAAAGACCAGTATGACTGTAAGCGCCTGTCAATCTCCAGGAACCGCAAAACGTTCAATCAGCTGCCACCAGTCACATGGTATCATATCCATAGTGTCATGACTATAAGATGTTTCCTCACAGACAACTGTTCTGCACTCAATGTCATTGTCTTCAATTCCTATAAGTCAATAAAATTGAATTTCGGTGAACACTGAAGTCAGCCACGTGTGCAAACGTTCCATTATATTTGTTTTGGTCACACATACACAAAATTTCCCAAGAGTATGTCAGCATGTTAAGGTCAAATGTACTGCCTCACTTATACCAGTTTACTAGTAGCCAATGAGACATAACAAGCATTAACAGGCTGACCGTCTCTCACACTTTTATCCTTTTCACTCGCGTATCTGTGAACATGTCATCACTAACAGAACAAGAACGAAGTCACTGATTCGACAATGAGATCTGTTTGATTCTGCCCTGGCTATTTGTGGTATCCACTCTATTACATATAAATCACTTTTCATGTGCTGCTGCTCCTAACAAATACTTTTAGAGCTCTGAACACAAAACCTCAAAGTTTAAAACAAAGCATGACTAACTTATTGTATGTGTTATCAGTGCACGCAGACATTTTAAAATTACTCTACATACATGTACTGTTATCACACTGAAATTACTTGTCAACCTGCAGTACAGTTTATCACCGACAAATAAAAGAACACATACAAAAAAAATAGCTTTAACTTTCGAAAACATTTTTAAAAAGTTGTTAAAGCTGCCATTACTAATTTTACTAATGTAAGCCACATGAATATATTGATGTCGTGCGTTTATTGTGTACGAGACAGAATAAATAAATGTTCGTGGCAGAGAAATTAATGAAAGTACTTCTTTGCTTGTTTTGAAAACAGACACAAATGTGAGCAGAATAAATCTGGACCACAAAAATTATACTTTTAAAATATCATCAAAATATGTTGATTGTCAAGTCATAATCATCATTCTTCTCAAAACAATGCACATTCTAATGAACATATGGTGAACAATTTCGTGATCTTCACGACACAAGAAAAATAATAAAAACACTTTACGGAACAATCATTCATCAGTTAACTCCATACAATCTCTGCTTAAAAATAATTAACAAATATAATGAAAGAATTCCTTGCACCCTTCTTTAAAAAAGTAATGACTTTCCATATAACACTCTGACACATTTATATAGAACATGGGTTCTACATACTGCTTCACTGTAGCATTTTTGTTCATCACACAAATTTTCATATTTAAAAAATAGTCATAATAAACAGAACACACAAATTAAATAGTCCTTAGTTTTGTAAGTTTTACGTCAACTCCATGTGCACTCGTAGATGTTCCAACTTCACACTCCTGAACTACTATACCAATACACATGCTTGGAAACAAGGAACCTGGAGAGTCTATAGAGATCTAACACTTTCCTAAGCTGCTCAACTACTGGTATAGTTGTAAAGGTAACCATCATATAAGCTAGGAGAGTTAATGGGAGTGAGTATACCTTTAAGCATGTACTTGTAGTAGAATGTTGTAATGTCTATCTTCTGACCTTGATGCTTTCTGGTTAAACAAGTGATTGCTTCAACATGTAGATCCCTGTGTACTTCATTATACATTTGTTCAACCTTCGCTTGTGCCAAAACTTTTAATTTCAGTGCCCAGAACACGGTTAATTTAAAAATTCACTAAGCTTTTAAAAGCAGGAATAGGAATCAGACCAACTTCAAAATTGAGTATGTACTAGAGAAAAGAATAGCGATTGTTTGGTTGCAGGGATTCAATGGGATATCTCATTCTGAAATAGCAGATTCTTCTAAAGCTGCTTCTGTGCTAAACTACTGTGCCATAAAATTGTGTAGGGGGCTTGCGAGCCAATCTCCATGTACTTTATACATCAGCAGTAAGAGGTGAATGGTCATCTTAATGCTCCAGATAAATAAACTGATTCACTTGCAAATCATTCTACAAATCCAAATATCAATCATTATCCATATATCACTCTGAAGCAATGTCTGCATAAATAGAAAATAAAGACTTTAATGTGAATTTGTCATTAAATCTGAGCAGTTGCCTAAAATACTGCAATGCTTTGGCTAAGGATAACAACACTGTTTCTTGGTGAACTGGAGAGGAATGGGAAGGAAGTGGGTGTGGCCTATTATAACCATTCCTTGGCATGAACTGAGAACACTCACAGAAGCTTACACATGACCTCACAAGGATGACAAAGTTTAGAATCTGATAACTGAAAATTATCCAAGGTGATTAATACATAATGAATTTAAATAAAAAATACAAAATTTGTTCATAAGTCTGGGAAGTAGCATCTTTCAGTATAAAAAGGAACAATTTTCTTCTATTATATAAAACCCAATGTACCAAGTTACTGTCTTTTAAATAGTTACCTAGTATTACCTTAAAACTGCTTTGAAAATCTTCTTTTGGAAGATACACAGTACATTTCTTGTCAGAGTGACAACTGTAGTCATGCTATCTCAATTCACCACTGATGTTAGAGAAAGAAAACAACCTTTTCTACTTTAATACTAGTGACATAACAGTACAGTTCACTTTTGTCAAAGACTAACTAAAGCTACGATAAAACTAAGGAAACATCATTGTATGTCATATATGAGCATTAGCAGGTTTAAAATCAGTAGGAGGAAGAGGAAAAGATGACTGTAGCACGTGTGGAGAATTATTCCCCTCCCCCACTCAACACAGCAGGTAAGAATGGCATAAAACAGTTCTCCTACAATTTGAGATAATGGTGGGGATAAAGCAGGGGAAGTGACAGAGACAAACAAGGAGAATAAACATGAGCTCACACATGACGTTCAAAACTCTAGGTGGTGTAACTGCTGAAGACAGTAGTTTGTAACATGTGAAAGAGCTTGAGTAGAGCTGAGCAGAAATGCTATATTAACCTACAATCTGCTACAAATCCTGTTCTGGAGGTCACACTCTCCCCACCTTCAAGACCTTCATCCTTCATTTCACAACAAAACCTGAAGCAAGGACTTCAAATCAAGGCCAAGGTCATTAAAACCAACCATAAAGCCTACACACCTATAAAATGTATGATTATGTCTCTTGAAAATTGCAATGACTGGGGGTCTTGGAACTCCAGAAACTACTAACATACAATGACAAAAAAAATATGACAATGATTAACCAATTAATTGTTTACTTGCACCTTGTCACAGTGGCTACATGATCTAAAGCATGTATAATCTTGGATCACATGAACACTGAAACTGCATGCACAAATCTCACTCAGGGCTGTCATGGTCTGATCCCCATCCATGGGGTTCTACCAAACACCTTACAGTGTTCAAAGTTCAGAATAAATTCTGAATCAGAAGGGGCCATATAAAACTGAAGAATTATTTACGTGCTAATTAATTTCAGTCACTTAAAATTAACAATGATGACACTGATTTCATATTCAGAATGCATAATTTAGCTTTAAACAATACATACATTTCCCACATCTATACTTTTAATGTCATCTATTACAGTTCTTAACTTTCAACTTTAGAATATGAGTTATGACAGGTATCACCATCCATCAGACTTCCCAATGCCTAATTGGAAAGACTGAAATGTTTCTAAATTAAGAACCCTGCAGCAAATGGAAAAAACTAGAAATTAACATAAGTTGTGAGAGATATACAAATAGGTACAAAGTATAAAACATATAATACCACAAATGATAATATTAATAAACATTTTGAGTTGAAATGGATAGTTGTAGATGTTCAAACATATATATATATATATATATATATAAGTGTTGTGCTACAGATGGTATAGTGACTGGCTAAAGACTGGATGACTGGGATTTGATTCCCAACGAAGGCAGAGGATTCTTCCTCTCGCCTCTGCGTGCAGACCAACTCTGGGGCCCACCCAGCCTCCTGTCCAATGGGAATCAGGGCCCTTTCCCAAGGGTACAGAGTGACCAAAACACAACACTGACCACTCACCCCATCTAGTTCTGAGGTTAAGAATGAGTAGGAACTATACCTCCTCTCCCCAGCAAGCACCTACATGGTGTATAATGGGACAGCTTTACTTTTACTTTGTGATACATTTTTGCCTTTAAACATTCTTTTCAAAAATGCAAAATACGAGGGGAAAATATGGGTTATGTGTCTGTCTGCAGGTTACAGTTCCGAAAATACCAAACATGTTTTGATAAAATGTCTTGTTATTAGGTGTACACACCATAAGTTGTTGGATGAATTTAATTTTGGCCTATGTTGATTCACTGTTACTTTATAAGAAGCTCATACCAAAATGCTGTTTTCCTTAAAAACATTCTTCATATAAAGTGTTGGTATGTAACACAAAATACTATGAAAAATAAAATCAAGAACTATGTTTTGAAAGAAATAAATGAAAAACACAAGCATCATGGATGGAATATTTGCAAGCCTTTAAGACAGGATGACAATGGGGATTCAGTTCAAACAAAATGGACTGCAAAAGACCTGAAGTGATCCATAGTGCCCACATATAAGATCAAGCGAGGTTATATTTTGTGGTTTAATTAGCTGATTTATTTTATTTTTTTGAAGTAATGTTTGTCAACTTATGTCATAATATATATGTATTAATATTCTGATAGAATTCTTTATTCATTGGAAAACTGTAGTCCCCTCTCAGATTCACTAAACAAAATTTTGTACTTATTCATTCAGGATTCTTTTCATGAACTACTGCTGTGACATATCATCAATGTTTTTATGACTGTCGTCATCTAAATTTTCAGCAACAATCTTCTTATTATCATGAACACTGTTGTTACCATCACTATCAACAATGCTATTGTTATCATCACCTCCAACATCATCAGCACTGTCATTATGGCCGACACCACAATTTCAATCATCAACACAATTCCTACCACCATCATCACCATCATCATAACTAGTTTCAGTACCTTCATCTTCAAGTTCAATTGCCTTGTATTTTGAAAAATCATCATCACTGCTTCTAGTAACCTCATCTTCCAATTCAATTGCTTTGTAATGTGAAAAATCACCATTGTCATCATCACCACCATCCTTATTATTACTAATAACTTCATCTTCTAATTGAATTGCTTTGTATTTTGAAAAGTCATCACTATCACCACTACCATCAATCACCTCACCTTCTAATTTAATTGCTTTGTATTGTGAAAAATTATCATCTAATTCAATTTCTTTATGTTGTGAAAAATCATCACTATTATCACTAATGTCATCATTAAATTCAGTATTATCCTGTGTGTCCATTTCTATACCCTGTTTACATCTGTCATCTTCCTCAATGTCATCACCATTATCTTCTGTCTTCAACTGTGAAAGAGTGGTTTCTATCATCTCACCAAGACGTTTAGATGTTACAATAGTCTTCTGTTTTCTTGCAGAAGAAACTTTAATTTTTGTAAGGGAATTTGATGTTAAAATAGACTTTGGAGAAACATCCTTAGAGATTCTGATAAGATTATTTGTTTTCTGTTCTTGTTTTAACAAATCATGTGCATGTAAATAAGATTTAGAATAGAATACAGAAACACTCCTGTCTCGAACTTTATGAACATTGGTGCTAGAAATAATGGCTTCCATCTCATCCAATGTTTTGAATCCAATGCGGGCTCTTCTGCAAACACATCAACATATCAAGGAATATCATCCATGTACTGACAATGAAAAGACACTTATTACAATGTAAATAATTTTAGATGGCTGTCTTCTGGAGTGTAACACCATATTATCTGGTAGAATTTCACCCATGTTTCAGAGATCTTTGCTGTCTCCATAATAAGGGTGCATCCCAGTGATGGGGGCAGCAAGACCTCTGAAACAATTCAAAATTTCTACCAGACAAAACAGCGCAACAACTCATAAGACATCCATCTTCATACTTTGTGCTTTGAAAACCTCAAATCCCAAGTAATTTTACCTGAATGTACTAAACACCACCCTTCCTTTGACATTTCAATCACACATAAAAAAAATGATGGATGTTCTTAAGTTTTGTAATTTTCTCAAAAATATTCACTTTTGAATTCTAACAGCACTACCAGTGCTAAATTCATATCATAATCTATTTTATGTGTAAGTGGTCATCCACTTTTATTGCTATTACATCTATAAGTTTGTATTTTTTTAACTGTTGTTTTTATTTTAACAGATTAAAATTATACATTTATTTGGTAAATGAATATACTGAAGTGCATTTACAGCAAAGCTCGGAAGACAGATTCATATGATAATTAACTATATATTTATTAATCAAATTGTGATACTTTCAGAAAAGAGATGACAATCATTTTACTTTAGGAGCAATTTTTTGAAACCTTCTTCCTCTTCACAGCCCTTACACAGTAAAATGGAAAATCAAAATATTTATTTAAACTAGTCTGACATCTACACGAAAAACATATAAATTACTGAATATCCTGCAACACCAATAAAAATATTAAAAATGTATGTTAGAGAAATTAATCCTATGAATGAACTGTATCCCATTTTAAAAAGCATACATTACATTCAAACCATATTTTAATGTCCATACTCCTGGAAAAGGCCTAATTAATTGCCAGAAAATAGAACAGTGAATATAACCGACCATGACTTTGACTTTTCCCTTTACGCATGCGTGCACGAGCACACACACATGCACAAATATGTGATGTCCACATACTCAACATATATCTAATTGGCAAATGCGATTGATAGAAACATGTTTATTATTTTGAAACTTAATATAAGATATAATCATCTTGGCATATATTTGCACAGGTTAACTCAAGTAATGAAATAATATTACTTATTTGTACAATGCAACAATTCCAGCAGTTACTTAAGATCCATTAGAGACGTCAAGGATCACTCTGCACGGGCATTTCAGAGTCTATTTAAAACTTTCTTTTAATAATGGTCTTCTGGGTAACACTGTGTAATCCTATAGATAGTTACAAATGTTTTAGAGGTGGTAAGTTCCTCTGAAATACTGGTTACTACCTACAAGTCTACAGTATCATAACCCACAAGACCATAATAAAAATCTTCACAACAGTCAAAATCTCAAAACTCATACAGCCCAACAAATGCCTCATGGACTAGGATAATTATGAAATCCTTAACCAATTATTAACTCCCAAACACAAAGCAGCAGTGGTATGCACTCACTGCATTTGCAATGTTCATTATATAATTATGGATTATCTCAGTACCAACCACGTAATATTTCTTAAACCAATTTCACTTCTTTCTTTAAAGATTATGATTCAAAAATGTTTAATCTCATTCAATCACATATCAGTCAATAATACTTACAATGATCCTCTTTTCTTTGGCGTGAACATGCGTACATTTGCACAGCCTGGAAATGCTGAAGTAATTTCACTCTCTGTCACATCTTCTGGTAGATTCTTCACATATAGTCTGTAAATATAACATATACTCATGTATATAATCTATGTGAAAGAACAAAATATATTCCCTATTCCACAAGGCTTATGCCAACAAAATAACAGCAGACTTCATCAAGGACTCGACAAGAAACATAAGCAGACTTCATAAAAGGTATTTCAGAACTGTGTGCTAAGTATCTGGGTTATGAAAGAATATGACAGTTAACAGAATTAAGAAATTTAAATGATAAACTATATATGTTTATTAATCATATAATAATTAAAACAAAGAAGGTGAGATGTGTAGGACAAAAAGCATGCACAGGGAAGTGAAGAAATGCTTATATATGACATTTCAATCAAAAATCCTGAAAGTTAAGACCAGAAGAAGGCCAAGGTTAGATCAGATGATATGTGGACTAAAATCAAGTGCCTCAGGACAGGGCCAATGGTCAGCTTTCATGAATGAGGTAATAAAACCTCAGGATTCCAAAACAGCAAGAAATTTCTTTAAGCAGCTGAATCACCTTTTGTGTGTGTTGGAACACCTTACATCCATAAAAATTAGCACCTGAAATATTTCTTTTTTGTGCAAAAGATATAAAATTAATAATCTAAGATAAATTTACAGTGCTATCTCAACTTACTTGTACAAATGTTGCTGCTTCTTACTCTTCTCTTCACGACTGTTTATCTTGAATTTCTTTGTTTCCATAACAATAAGTTGACCACCTCTTACTCTCTTCCTGTTCAGATCATTCAGAGCACATTTAGCAGCTTCTTCACTACTGAATCTGATATGGCACCATCTGAAATATCAAATGCTTTGTTTAACACAGTTTACAACATAGAAGTTTCCAAACTGCTGTTTATAAACAGGATGTATCACTTAATAACAATCTCACTTATAAGTCAGTTTCTTGCAAATACAACACTACAGCACAATCCCAATGCATTTAAAATAGTTTATATTTCAGTCAATCCTCATAGAACCTGATGGAGCTCTATGGAGAAACGTATCCATATAAAGCAAAAGTTAAACCTGCATAATTATTCAACACCAATTTCAAAATATGCATACACACCAGAACTAAATTACTGTACTTCTATATATGCTTAATTTGATTTAAATCAGATTTAGGAGGAAATACTAGACAGCAAATGATTCCAAATATTTTTCTGGCATCTAACAACTGTGATGCTTCATTTGCTGAAAGATTCAAATAATAAAATAGCAGACAAATAATAAGTTCAGGATTCAGGAGAAATTAATTACCAAAATGTGTAATATGAATTATATTAAAAGACATCCATGAACACGATGTACAAATACTCTTGACCTCTTACTTACTGAGAAACACTAATTTTGAATTTATCCCATGCCTGTTAATATATTGTGAAGACATGATTCTGTATCAGTGAACTTAATTTATAATATTTAAATTCCATTACTATCAGAGGAATTCTGTCATTTTCAACAAACACATTTTTTGTATTAAAGTAATTTGGAACGAAAAGTGGAAATTAAACAGATTCACAAAGTTCTTGTGACAATTAATGGCTCTTTCAAATGCACTGCACTAGAAATTTAAATACACACAACTAGCAACTGATGGTCCACTTTACCTTCCTGCCACAAACCATATTACACAGTAATAAGACAAGAATGAAAAGGTTTATTCAGAAACGTTCTTTGTAATGCTGCATTCCACATTAGTCTTATAGTTAATTAACCACATAAAACTATTTTTGACACAATAAATTAGCAATAGAGATGTTAGTCTACATGGCCAAAAATTATTATTTTATGCAATTTTATAAATATATACTATACTGTAAACTATTTCCTGTTACACATCAGAGTGAAATGTACTACACATTTTTCAAGCCCAAATTCTGAGAGAAATTTTTAAGATAATTTATATTTGGTTTCAGACTCATGAGATTAAAATGAATTGATAAAACAAAATTAAATTCACCACATAACTTTTAATGCATATTCCCAACATTTTATTTCATTTAAATCTATAAATTAATTTTGAATATGAAACATACACAGGGACAAACATTCTTATAATAGGTTAAATGTGTGCTTCATGTACAAAATGCATATTTAACAAGGCAGAAACTAATAAATTCAGAAACTAATACATTCATTCTACAATGTAATTAATAACATAGCACATAATATAACAACAGCAGGAACATCAAAGTAAGTTCTGATTAGCATAAAAGAGCTTCACTGAAAAAATTCATAAATACTAAAGTCTGCTAATAAAATTAGGCCTATGGCAGTACAAGCTACAAAATAATACCTTTTAATGCGAGGTTTAAATCTCACATCCTCTATACCAGGATGTAACAATTTCACTTCCAATTTATCTCTTACTCTGCGCGGAAATCGCACAAACAGTGTTCGACACTGATGATCATATATTTTTGTCTCTGTCTCAGCATTATCACTTTCCTTTACACTGACATTTGCAACAACTGATGATTTTGTGCCTGTTTTCTGATGATAAGTATGAACTACTTCTGTTTTTCTAGACATCTTTGCTTTCTGCATCAGCCACACTATAAGACAAAAACATTTAAATGGTATTAAAAAGGTACATACATCACTATGACAGTGAATTTCACAGTTCACTAGGATTCGTTACTTGAATAATAAGCAGTTAGAAATGTCAATGTTATTAATGTATAACTCGTTCTCTTGCTTTTTGACAAAAGGAAAGACTGAAGAAAAATTGTATCAGTGGCATAAACAGCATTAAAGTAAGCATATACTTTTATTACAAAAATAATAAGGCCAATTCTACCAATATCACACTATCCCATAAAACGTTTATCAGCACCCTACTTATAATTTAACTAGCAGAAACTTCAAACACCTTGCTAAACACCACGTGCACTACCTCTAAACAGCGTTCTGTGTTCTGCCCTAACTCTTGGAGCAAAGAATCTAGTCATCATGGAATTTCTTAACTACGTCACGATTTCATCAGAATTAATTAGATGGGATTACAAACGAGAGTTATTGTTCAGAATAGTACTTTACTTCACCTATTGAATATTCAGAAAAGTACAAGTTTAGTGCAAATTCAGTTACTGCATTTAAACGTTTTCGTCAGGCTTTATATGTGAAATTATGTGTATAAACCTTGGTCTCTCACATTAAGAGAACGTCACAGATTAAAAGTATTTTTTAGTTAAGATTTGCGAGTAAAAGTTTGGGATGAACAAAAATGTGAAGTGCACAATGACACCTGTTTGGTGAAAGAAAATATGAAATTTGAGATTTTCACAGCATAAAATATTGTTTTCTAATTTTCATTGTTGATTATGATTATGTGTAATCTTGTCGTTTGACTCCATGCAGCTTCAATAATTCCCTGAAGAAGAAAGCAATATGTTACTTCAAAATCTGATTACCACTTCAGCAGCTGCACGGCGTTATAACCCACACAACCATAATTCAGATGTTTTTATTTTGCTGGAAAGTATGATAGAACGTACTCATCTCCGACTCCATCCTTGACTGTAAGGATTTCTATTCTATTCATTTACCAGAAATCTCCGGGCTTTCACAACTTAAACATTGATTAATAGGTTGTTAGTTTAATACTCCTTGAAAAGTGATAATCATGGACTTTACAATAAAAGCAGACTTATGTACATTGCTTAAAAAGCTTACGTCTAGTGACAATCTGTGCTTGATACCAACTTCATCATACAGAATTTTATTGTATTGTAAATATTTTAATAAATTTGGTAATGGCGCCGAAGAAAAGTGGTAGTGCAAAAGG